AGTCTTGCTATGTTGCCCAGGCTGGTCTCACTCCTGGCCTCAAGTGATCCTCCTGCCTCAGCCTCCCAGAGTGCTGGGATTACAGGTGTGAGCCATCGTGCCAGCCACCCCCACTTCTCCTTCTCCCCCGCCACCCCCCACCCCACGCCAATTCTTCTTCCTCTCTCTTCCTTCCTCCCTCCCTCAACATGCTTTACAAAATAAAGCGTTGGCTCCATTCCCTGCCATCCCTCAGAAGCTACTTCGTTTCAACCTCCCTCCAAGCCAGAATGCTCTCCTCCAGGGCATCAAGGGGCCAGGAACTTCGTCTGAATCAGGCTGGAATCCGGGAACCTTTTGTGGGCCCCTGTCCCTGATCACCTGCCCTCTGTCTCTCCCCAATTAGAGAGCCCTTTTGCCTGATTCAGTGGTTGAATCAGTAATGAGACCGCTCTTCCTCTGCAGTGGTGAGAGAGGAGCATCCAGGTGATTGCGCTGGGGTGGACAGGAGACAGTAGCATGTGGTAGCTGATGGATGGAGCTGGCACGATGCCCAGCCTGGTCTGCTGGCGGCCCTGTACTGGGCACAGTTGTGCCAGCAGGCAGTGGCAGGGTTTGCACTGGCCAAGCCTTTTGCTTCTCCTGCCCAGCACACAAGATGAGGTACTAGCTTCCCATGAGCCCCCAGAGACAGGAGGGGGCTACAGCTTCCAGAAGGGCAGCGCCAGGATTTCCTAGGTTGCCATCTTGGCTGAGACCTGTCTGTGAATGTGGCCTCTTGTCTCAGTGGGGCTGAGATGGGGTGTGACAGAGGAAGAGCCAGGCCTTGGTTCTCTGGGAGACTTCCTGCTGGCTACAGCCCTAGACTCACCATGGTGGCCATCATGGGAAAAGCACACCTGGGCTCACACAGGGCCCACTTGGCAGTGCTGCTTGTCACTGTCACCTGGCACAATAGGACCAAGTGCCAGGATAATTGCAGCTCTAGAAAATAGAGTCATTTGATGACATCCTCCATAACTTATAAAAACCCACACGGCCTGGGCCGTCCTTCACAAGAAGGCAGAAAGCAAGTGTCCCAGTCACTGCGGCAACTTTCAGCCACCATTTCCTCCTGGTCACTGAAACCATTTGTCATTTCCTGTTTTCTCCATTTTCCAAAGATTCTAATTGTCAGTGTCAAAAGGCAACAACTGTTTTCTTGGGGCTTATCTTTGGAGCACATTGATTCAGAACAAAGGATGGGAGCCTCCTCTGCAAAACAAAGGAAGCAGCCTCCTCAGGAGGCCCAGAGAATGCCCTGGCTCTTTCTGCCAGGGACAACAGGACTGGGCTGGGAGCAGAGGACTGGCAATGCCCCTGGACACCCCAGTGGGAGTGAAGAGCCCATGGAAGGCCCCCACTTGCTGGTGGCACACCAGACATAGGGGTCCTGCAGAGTTGGCACCAGCACCAGGGCTAGGTGTCAATGGCGACATTTGCTTTGGCAGTTTCTGTAGTGATGCGGCTGACCAGCTTTTCCCTTCAATGCTGGGTGCTCTGGAATGTGTGCGTTCTGGGACGAAGACATGCCAGGGCCCCTCTGAATCCCACTCAGCCAGCCTTTCCTTTGGTCTCCAATGCCTGGGGCCTGGCTCCCTCCCTCTCTTCCTGTGGACTTGTCTGCCACTCCCCTGCTCTTCCCTCTTCACACTTCTAGCTTCCAGCTGCCCCCAGCCCCGCCCCTGTACAGCTGTGTTATTTGTAAATGGGGCAACCAGTGGGGATGGAGTTAGGGTCGGTGGAGACCTAGCCCGCCACACAGTCACCTGTCCCCGGAAGCGGTGGAAACACCCAGTCTGCAGTTAGTAGGCATCACATTCCATAGCTATGTTTCTTTGGACAAGTCATTTGACCTCTCTGAGCTTCAGATGTCACATCAGTAAACTGGGGACTGTAGATTTTCTACCCTGATGTCCCAGGCTGGTGTAAGGGTCAAGGGGCAGAACATAAGTGAAAGGGCTGCCTTCAGAAATGGTCACCCACCCTGAGCACCTCAGGCAGATCAGATGGTGTGGCCTTGGGTGGTCACTTGACCCCTGTGCTCCTGGGTGTCCATGTGGGCTATTGCTAGAGGATATGAAACAACAGTGCCAAGTGCTCAGTAGAGTGAGTGCTCAAGAAGGCTGCCCCCACCCCACCAGTGCTGTAGCAGGAAGAGGGCAGCTCCACAGGGCGACGGAGAAACAGGCCCCCACGCCCACACGGCAGCCCAGTGGCAGGGAGGGGAGGGGAGGGAAGGAAGCAGCTAAGGGCGGGATGGAAAAGCAAAGCCCAGTCCAGTGAAATCGCTTCTGGTGTAGTCTCCCCGGTGCCATGTGTTTGTCCTCTCTGCCTGGGCAGGAACCGAGGCCAGGAACAGCTGCCAGGCCTGAGAGCTGGGCACACTCCCAAGCGCCAGCCCTCTACCCCGCCCCTCCCACGCCAGTCCCACTGAGCGCAGAGAAGGGCTGCCCAGAAGCCCTTTGCTGGAAAAGCAGGTGCTGCGTGGGTGAGCCATGTTGCAGGGTCAGGTCTACTGGCATCCGGGGGGATACAGGCCAGAAAGTGGACTCGGGGCGTGTGCTCCCTGACACAGCTGCCTTGGTCATTGACAAGGGGAGACAGATGGCAGCGGGTGAGCAGAGATGGCTCGGCTACCCCCACTACATGGGATGAGGCTTCGAGCACTGGACTGGGAGTCAGACCCAGGTCCCAGTCACAAGCCGGCACTGACGGGCTGAGGCTCTCGGAGCTAGTCATGCCTTCCCTGGGCCCTGGGGCCTTCATCTCATTCCCTCCTGGCTATGTTCTTCCCTGGTGACCCTTGAGCACATCCCAGACTGAGTGCTGGGACTGCGGCCCTGAAGGCTCGCTCCTCCCCTGCCCACCCAGCCAGCCTTGAGGCGGAGACAGGAAGCTCCTCCCACTTGCCCATGCTGCAGCCAGTCAGGAGAAGGGGGGAAGTTGGCACAGTGAGTGTTTGGCTACTTCTGGTGTCGGACACTCTGTCCATCTGACCATGTGATCATCCGGCCGTTCATGCCAGGACCACCCAGAACAAGGCTCGGTCCTTCCCCCTTGACAGCCCTGCAGAGGCTGGGCACCTGCCACTGCATAGCCCAGAGTCTGCTCTGCCCCAGCTTGCTCAGCCGTTCTTTGTCTGGGTAGTTTGAAGTCCAGTCCCGACTCTCATTGCTTTACCCGCCCTCTCAACACAGCCAGTCTGTCTGGGTCTCCCTGAGACGGGCACGTCCAGACTCCTTCAGCACTATGGGCATGGTCTGGCCAAGGCAGAGTAGCATAGGACTGTCACCTCCCTCCTTCTACATACTCTGCTTCTATTAATGCAAGCTAATGTTACATTCGTTCTTTTGGTGACCACATCTCACTGCTGACCCATCCTGAGCAGACAGACATCCAAAATGCCTAAATCTTTCTTCTGTGTGCTCTTGCTATTGAGCTCTGTCTCTCCTGCCCCATCCTATGCTGTTGCAGTTGGTTTTTTTTAACTCAGGTGCAGAATCCTACTTTTATTTATACCTGTGGAATTTTGCTCAGGAGGGTGGGCATGCATGTGAGTGTGTGTTGGTGTGTTCACTCATGCTTTCTGCTACACCAAAGCCAAGTCCTAGGTCCCCTCACGGCGATCCTATGGCTAATATTTTTTGGTAGCCGGAATCTAATGTCTTTTTCATCTTCTGTTTAGCAAGAGAAACAGAGATCAGGTCTTATGGCAATGACCCCTGAGCAGCAGAGTGCATATATCGCCCAACAGATGAGTCAATTTCAAGGTAAGTAGTTAAGGTCAGTATTCCCAAAGGGGCAGGCAAGGGGGCATATACATGGAGGTAGGGTTTGAATTCATTTCAGAGTCAGCAGTTTATGTCTGTGTTCCTGGAAGCTTTGAGGGAGAGAGGGAGGTCTGAAAGTCAGTTAAACAGGACACAGGTTGGATCTCTCACATTGGTAGTTCATCCAACTCTAATAGGAGAATCCCAATTGAAGGCCCGGGCTTAATGGCTCCAAAATCACTGTTTAATTCAAGAGATTGATTTAGCTGAGTCAGGCCCCTCAAAGTAGCTATTCTCAGCGAGAGAGGGGCGGGCCCCTGGATGTGCATCAGAATCACCTGGGGGCTGCCACACCCCCAGGGTTCTGAGCCTGCCCTTCCCCTCCCCCCCCACCACAAAAACACTCACACGCTGCATTTCAAATGGGTCCCTGGGCCATCCGTCAGGTATGGGGAATAGAAAAGGGGCTGGGGAGCCTCCCAGAGCTTCCACAGATAGCGGGGGTCCCCACCCTACCATGAGTGGCAGCTGTGAATGTAACCAACAACAACAAAAAAAAAGCCAGGCATGCATCCTACTTCATGGAGTCCTGAGTTAAGCAATCCTTCCAAGCCACTGGGGTAAGATTGGTCCAGGCCAGGGAGCACTTAGCACCGGTCTGGGGACCAGGGAAGGCTGCTCGCCCTCGGACAGGTGGTCAGCATCCTCACTGTAGCCCGCGCCATTGCTCCTCCGTTCTTATACAAAAGCCCTGGCCCTTTCTGCCTGATACTAGTTGAGTCTGTGTCCTGCCTGCCCAGGCCGGAGTGGCACATTAGGCACACTTGGCTGCAGGGACAGCACAGGCAAGTTTCGGGATGGTGGGTGGCCACTAGGGGGTTTAACTTTCTGAGGCTAGGTTGCGACCTATTTGAAAAACTTACTCATGCTATGATAATAAAAGAACCTAGTTACAAGAGAAAAAGAAGTATTCATAGTTAAGAGCATAGACTCTAGGGTGGCTCAGACAGACCGGGGCTCTCATCCAGACTGCACTGTCCCCTACCTGATCCTGGTTAAACCACATGCCTCAGTTTCCACTCCACAAAAGTACCAGTGGTGATACTGGCCACAGTAGCTATTGGCCACAGTAGGCTCTCATGACAATGAGAGGAAATGAATTCCCAAACTTAGGCAACGGGGACCCACCGACCCTCTGTCTTCTGCTCTGTGTCTCTTCACCCCCGGGCTCTCCAGAACATGAACTCCTAGATTTCAGCCTTTGGAAAGGACCCCCTTTGCAGTTCAGCCGAACACGTCTGAGCCCCAGATCTGGGCTAAGGGGCCATCTAGGCTCGAGGGAGCACCGAGGGGAACAAAACACCATCCACACTCGCTCTCACCACACTTGCCATCCTGTGCATCCTGTGCAGAAGCTGAGAGGCTATGCTAGCTTCCCCCCATGCCAACCCCACCCTGCCCCTTCCTTCCTTCTGCAAAACATGCACCATCTGTCAGGGGGTGCACAGGGTACCATGTGCAAAAGCACACACAGACCCCAGCTTCGTGGGGCTTCCGATCTACCTAAAGAGGCAGACAAATCAGCTGGTGCCTCAGTCCAGCATGATCTACTCTTGGTAGAGGGGCTGTGAGCCCAGACATGGGGAGTCTGCGTGGAAGTCTGGGAGGGCTTCCCCAAAGAGCTGCAGTCCAGCTGAGGGCAAAGAAATGAGGGTAGTTGAGAGGAATTGGGGAGCAGGGGAGGCTCAGTAGGGAGCCTGAGTCAAAGATGCCTTTGAAACTGACCCCCACTTCTCTCTTTCTGTAGCCGTCCAAGAACAAGTCACCTCCAAGTGTAGCCGGACCAAGGCAAGCTCCCCATCTAGCCAGCACATGATGCCACCCAGAACTGGGCTCCTTCAGAACAATCTAAGTCCAGGAATGATCCCATCCACCAGGCGCCAGAGCCGTGAGGATGTGGGTGTGATCTCATCAACTCCAGGGAAGCAGCGTGGAATTTTCAACTCCAGCCCCCAGTTTCCCATACCCTCACATTCTGGCCAGAACCCCCTGGGCAGTCTTGGCTCTGTCTGCCGGCATACGCAGAGTCCCAAGGCTAACCCCCCAGGAGTGCCCCTGCCTGGGTTCTGTCCCAGCCTCCTGGGCAGGCAGGCCCTGAGTCCCCACCAGCTCAGACAGCCCAGTGTGCCAACAATGCCCACTGTGTTCAACAATGCTGCATGGGTCGCCGTGGCAGCAGCTGTGACCACAGCAGTTTCGAGGGAACCACACCCAAGCCAAGTAGATAATAGCATTCAGCAGCATTTTGATAGCAACTCGATCTTTGCCAAGGCACCTATGAGAGTGCCACCCATAGCCCAAGCATTCCTGTCGCAGCAGGCAGTTGTGCCCCCCAATCAGATGGCCCCAGGAGGCAGGCCTGGCCAGAAGTTGAGTCCTGCCCTGGCCAACTCTAGCTTTAGCCTGCTGGGCAACCAGAGCCTCAGGCCGAGCCCAGTGCGGGGCCCAGTGCCTGTATCGAGCACCACCAGGTCCCTCCAGCAAGGCATGGCCAGCTTCCGTCCCATGAGTCCCATACAAGGCATCGAGCCGCCAAGCTATGTGGCCGCTGCCGCTGCTGCCGCTGCTGCTTCTGCCATCACCGCTAGCCAGTTCCCAAGTCCGTTCAACAGAACAAGTACTCCCCCTGAGCTGCCACCCAACGACATTTTGCCCCAGCCCCAGCCCCCACTAAACGATCTGATTTCACCACCTGACTGCAGTGAGGTGGATTTCATTGAAGCTCTCTTGAAAGGCTCCAGCGTGAGCCCAGGTGAAGACTGGGTGTGCAACCTGAGGCTGATCGATGACATTTTGGACCAGCGTGCTGCTGCCCAAAATGCCGCAGCCCAGAATGCTGGCCAACTCCCCCAGAATGCTGGGGAGCTTTAAATCTGAGCAGGCTGCCCATAGAAGCCCCCACGTTGGCATCACTAGGGGGTGGCATGAGCCATAGCAAATTCACACCTGGCCCCAGACAGCTGCAGTTGTCTCCTCATTACCATTTGAGTGGCACAAGCCCACACCCATCCCTCTCTCTACCTGTGACAAAATGGAAAGCTGGTGATTTTTCAAGCTGCCTGTACATATTTGAAAATTTTGTAAATGGTTTTCCTAGACATTAATGACAGAAGTATTTATACTTCATTTTGTGACTTTGTAAATAAAGTGACGGCTTTTGTTTCAGTAGAGTTGTGTTTATTATGCATTGTTTTGTGTTTATTATACATTGTTACAAATATGCAGACTGTGTTGTTAGCTCCAGTGATACCTTCTTGAGCTAAGTGGCTGAGTCACTTATGGTTTTGATGCAATGAGCGATGTGGATGTGACCAAGAGGTGTTGTGCAAACTGACAAATGCCAAATAGAAAACCACTTGGCCATTTATTTCCATTTTCACTAAAAACTCTATCGCCTTGTGTGGTTCTTAATCTCTTTTGCAAACCTTTCAGTCTCCGTTAGCTCTTTCCTAATGAGCATTTACGGAAGAAACCGTTTTGTCCTTAAGTGCCCCCCAGAGACACTTTGCCGAGAGGCCGAGAGAGTTTCTTACATCTGGGAGCCGCGCAGAGACAGCGTAAGCCGAGCACTGTCTGAGCCCTCCACCTGGAGGAACTGGAGCGCCCTCCTACCTTTATGGTTCAGGCAGAGAGAAGGTGCCAGCTTCGTGTGCACCCTCGCAGGATGAAGGCAAGCTGATCCTGGGTTAAAGCCTTTCAGTATTTGTTTTGATATAAGGCTCTGTGGTTTGGGGAAAAAAATCTGTAAACACTAATAGTTGATTTGGGGCTTGTCTTTGATGGTTTCTATCTGCAATTATCGTCATGTATATTTAAATGTCTGTTATAGAAACCCACACCCACTGTCCTGTAAACTTTTCTTAGTGTCCAGACTTTGTGTAATCACATTTTAATTGCCACCTCGTATTTCGCCTCTACATTTGAAATCTGGCATCTGTTTCCAGCCAGTGCGTTTTTTCTTCGTTCTGTAATAAACAGCCAGGAGAAAAGTGCCTCTATGTTTTCATTTATCAAGGGGGAATTCAGTACCTACGAACCCAAGTCAGCTAAGCCTGCTAGTGTCTTTGGTTCTTCCGTGGGCTGCTCGATGTCTTGGGCATCAGAAAGATGCTGCACTGAGGGGATGGAGTGGCAAGTTTGTGTAGCATGTGCTGCAGGAATTTCGCATCACAGCATAGAAGCATGTTAACTTTGGCCCAGCCTCTCATTTTACAGGGGATGAAGCAGAGGGGACAGGAGGCCATGAAGGCAACTCTGCGCTGGGGGCAGCTGGGTGGGGGCTTGTGCTGAGAAGCCAGACTCTCCACACCACTTTCATCCTTGCCTTGCTGAAGACCACACTTGCCCTTCTTCAGCCGGCCCCTGCCACCTTTGAATACGGAGTGACAGTGAATCCAAACAGAACTGAGCTTGTTACTTTGTCAACTTGATATCTGTATGTGGCCCCAGAAATTGAGGGAGATAATACAGACCATGAACCATGGAAGAGCAGGAAGGCCTAAACTTCAGGGCTGCTGTGGTTCCTTGGAGAGCCTGGCACACCCAATTAAAGATCCAACTCTTCCCACGTAAGAGACACCATATGGATGCTCTATGGGGGTGGAGGGATCCTGAGGCAGGTGACGTGTCTGCTGCATGTGGGAATGAAATACTCTCACTTCACAAAGACAGCCAACAAGACCCTGGTAACTCCAGGCAGCTGAGCACCCCTGCAGTGCGTGATCCCAGGAAAGGAGGGTCTTCCCGCCGCCCCTACCCTGCCGCTGGCACAGAGCCTGGGCTCAACTCAGCCCTGTTCACTCTGAGCGGTGGAGCCAGAAGGGCTCGGGGAACCCGAGATGTGAAGGCGATGGGGGCAGAGGGGAGGGTCAAAATCTCCATGGCTTGCCTTCAGGTCCAGGATGCCAGTGGAACGAGAGTTATTGCTCAGATTCGCACAGGTGTCCCACCCCTGTGGAGCCCTGCCACCTCCCGTGGAGGGACACCCGGCAGTCCCAGCCCGGCCCCTTTAAATCCTGACCTGCTGCCGATCCTAGCTGACTGGGAAGCCCTGGCCCAGTAAGTGGCTTTGCTGCAGGTGGCCATTTCCTAAACTGTGCAAAAACAATGGGGCTCCTAGGCATCGCATTCTCGGGCCACTCAGATCACGGCAAGAAGATGGCTCCCACAGAGCTTCGAACTTGCCTATGGTTGACCCTCATTCCAAAGGGGACCCTAATAAGGAAGCTGAGACCTGTGCCTCTCCCATGAGGTGGCCAGGACCTGGTGGGCAGGAAGCAGGGCTTCACGGAAGAAACCATATGTCCCCAAAGGTGGGACACACACACACATGCCCTTTATGTACTATAAGTGTGCAGCTAAAGCAACAGTTAGGATCGGATGTGGTCAGAATTGAATACATCATCACATCGATCCCCCTAACTGGCTGGGAGAGTTGATGTCCTCATGCCTAATGTATGAAATGTTCCAATATGATGGCAGTGTTCACAGGCTGAGAAAGGCGCGTTCTCTGAGGCAGACCTGTCATGTCCAGCAGAGCCTAAAGATGCTCTAAGAAGATGCCCCCACCCAGAACTCTCAATGGCTGTGACTAAGCGCAAAGGTGGATGGGATGGAAGCAGGCTCCCTAGTCCAGGGGCCAGAGGTGGGCCAGAGGGGTCATGGAAAGAGTCATTACCCAAAAGCCCTGTCAGCCCACTGCTCACACAGGCCCCTCCTGCTTCCTGCTGAGCATTCCTTGTAGGATGTGCCCCACAGGTGCCCTCAGCCAGTCATCATTCCACATTACTGTCCCTGCTTCTGTGCCCGCTGCCCCTGTAGGCAGCAGCTGCTCAGGAGGCCTCCCCAGAAGCCAGCCTCGCTGCTCCCAGGATTCCCTCTGCCTCCAGTGCCACAGCCATGCCAGGGCCCAGGTAGGCCCTGCTTTCCCTCAAGGCCACACCAGGGCACTTGGGCTCAGCTGTCCTGTCCCCCTCTGTCAGTGAGCCCAGGGGCAGCAGGGCTTGGGCACCAGGAGGCCCGTTCGTCCTTCCCTGGTTCTGTGGTGCACACACCTGCCCATCGGGTGCAGAAGCCTGTGCCCTGCAGACACCCAGCCCAGCCCTCCCAGTGGGGCCATCTCAGCTGTCTGAAAGCCCCATGAGTCACAGCTGTCCCCACTCATCTCTGCCAGCCGTCGGAGACCCAATATGAAAGCTGAGCTTGGCTCACTGAGCTGTTTCCATCTTCCATTCCCAGAGGGCTCAACTTCCCATCCCAACCACATTCAGGGCTGAGCCAGTGTGGGCTGCGGTGCAGACCAGTTCCCCGAATGCTTCCTGCCACCTGACCCCAGCCTGGCCTCGCTGCCCCCAGCAGTCCCATCCCTGCCCCCCATCCTCCTGGTGGTGGTTGCCCCACCATTCTGCCCTCACTTAGCTGTCCTCTCACTGGACCAGCAGCCTCTCTGCTAGGTACCTCTCAGAGGTTTTCTACCTGGCCATGTCAAAACCACCCGCTCAACCCCACAGCCCATCCAGCACCAGCTCTAGCTCTCTGCTATCCTCAGCCCCAAGCAGTCTGGCTCCAGTCTCGGCTCCTCCCCCCTTAGTACTATGGTCAAAGTGCCAACTTCCTCCCGGCCATAAAGCCAATCAAAGCTTTTCAGCCCTCGGCAGACTTGCCCCTGCAGCAGCACTGGACCCTCCCTCCTCCCAGAGACCTGCTGCCCCTTGGCTTCAGAGGCCCACACACTACCGGGACCCCTCTTCCCCTCTGGCCTGCAGCCTGGCCTTCTCTCCCACCCTGAGGCCCACTCCCTCCTGCCCCTCTACAAGATGTTACTCCTTCCATTACTTCCTCTCACTCAGCTAGGACGCCCTCATCCTCTTCCTGCCTTCTGCCTTCTTCCCCCGGGCACATCAACGGGTCCCAAGCCTACACCCCAGCACCTCAATGCCTTGACATCATGGCTGAGAAAAGCATGTTGTGTCTGGTCAGGGCCCTGACTTTCAGCCCCCAGGGCAGAGCTGCTGGCTTGAGGCCCCTTGAAGAAAGGGCGAAAGAGCTTGGAGGCTGCCTCCCATGGTAGAGGCCACCTTCATCCTACGTTGACAGCAGCCTTGCCTGAGGCCCCTCATGGGTCCCTCTTTCTGGCTGCAAGTTCTTCCCTGAGAGGACTCTGGGGGAGAAGGCACTCAGCTGCCCGTGGCCCCTGAAGGCCTCACCATGGGAGGTACAGAAAAAACCACAATCGCTAGGGGGGAGATGCTCCCTCCACAACCTGCGCCATCTTTCCCTCTCCTCCTCATGGGATACTGCCAGAAGTCCCCAGGGAAGTATGTGAGACCTCAGAATCTCTCTCCTCCCTCAGAGCAGGCTCAGGGCCCTGGAGACCCCAGAGCCAAGGTCTGTGTGTAAGCCGCTGTCTCTCACTTTTCCTCCAGCAGGGTAAGCCAGGGCTCGGGCACTAGACATGAGGTCCTGAAGAGGCACATATGATTGACTTCCCTAGTGCGTGGCCATTCAGTGATTCGACAAACACGCGTATGCCAAGTGCGGGGAGGTAGAGAGACATGATACCCAACCTCCTGGAGTCAGCTGGGGGAGCCGTGTGCATCCATCAGGATTCTATCAGAACTGGCCACTATAGCCTGGCCAAGTTGACATATAAGATTATCACAAGGGACAGATGCTGTAAACTCATTAGCAAAACAGTAACAAGTTGTGTTAAGGTCTGTGAAGGAAACACAAAAGGCTCAGAGAGAGAGAAAACAAGAGGGAGAAACTTGGCTGGGCGCGGTGGCTCACACCTGCAATCCTAGCACTCTGAGAGGCTGAGGCAGGAGGATTGCTTGAGCCCAGGAGTTTGAGGTTGCCGTGAGCTACATGATGCCTCTGCACTCTACCTAGGGCGACAGAGCGAGACTGTGTCATAAGGACACAGGTGTCTTAAGGTGGGGCTGCTGGGAAGTGGGGTGCCCAGGAAAGACATCTCTGAGAGGGTGACATTTGGGCTGAGATCAAAAGATGGGAAGGAGCAAGCCGCGCAAAGAGCTGAGATGTTCCAGGCAGAGGGAACGGCAAGTGCAGATGCCAGGAGGAATGGGAAGGAGGCTGGTGGGCGAGGCCCGGGGAGCAAAGAAGGGAAGGCAGGAGGGATTGGGGAGATGAGCAAGCCCAGACCACGTAGGTCCCTGGATGCTATCCTGATCCCACAGGGAAGCTTTGGGTCACTTCAGTGCCCTTGTGTAAGATGGACCTCAGAATGAATGAAGGAGCCTCCACCTCCTGGGCCTTCCCTTATGGACTTCCCAGGGACATCTTCAACCCAAGACATCCAAACAAACTTTTCCTAGTTCCCCCAAGCCTGGTTATCCTACTCAGTGCAAAACAGTCATCACATTCTCTGCCCTGCTCCTGAATGCCTTGAATCCTCTTGGTCTCTGAGTTCGGAACCTGGGAGTCACTCTTGATATTTGCCTTTCCCTTACCTCTTTTGTGTCCCGTCAAGGTGGAGTTCTCCCCCAAATAAATCTGCAAAGGCTCTGTTATCACCGTAAGAATTCCAGCAGGATTATTCCTAGAATGTGACAAAATGCTTCAAAATTATTTATCTGGGGGACTACAAAATAGAAATATCCAGGAAATTTCTGAAAAAGAAGAATCAAGAAAGGGTTCTACGATGAGCACACATGTGCACAGAGGAATGTAAAACTCAGTGGAAACCAAGCAGGGGGAGTGGGGAGGAGGGGATGGGCAAAAACCTACCTAACAGGTACAATGAACACTATTTGGGGGATGGACGCACTTATAGCTGTGACTCAAGCATTGCAAAAGTGATCCATGTAACCAAAAACATTTGAAATTTTTTAAAATGGGAAAAAAGGAAGGGTTTTAGCACTAGCAGATATTAAAGTGTATCATGAAGCTACTGTATTTAAAAGAATATGGCCCTGGACATAGGAAAAAACAGATGGGTCAGTGGAAGGAAAATACAGAGACGTGCAAATGG